TTGGCTTGGTCACATGACCTTGATCTATTTTACAATGAAAGATTAGGAAACATCAAATATATGCATTTTTTTGCATCCCAAGAGTACATAAAATGGGCATAGATGTGGCTGAATTTTTTCTTATAAACATTTTCTCATTCCATAAAGTAAATAATTTAAGATGAAGGATGTTTGCCTCAGGCTTCATCCACCTCATTTTTCCTTTTTCTTTTTCCTGGTTGTTGTTTGTTTTTGTATTTTTTGGAGACAGATTCTCTTGCTCGGCCCTGGAGCTTACCAATTAGGATAGACTGACTGGCCAGTGAGGCCAGGGATCTGCCTGTCTCCACCTCCACAGTGTGGGGATTACCAGAGACTGCCACCAAACCAGACTTTTTCCCAGGCCCTGGAGGCCAAACAGCCTGGCAAACACAATGCTAACTGAGCTATCTCCTGGTCCTAATCCTCACTTCAAAGGCATCTGCAGGGACTCAAACTAAATGAGGGGTCCCTTTGAGCACAAGGTTCAGCCTCCCCAGCTTTAGGTTTCAGTCCCAGTCACTCCATCTTCTTCTATCTGCTGTAAATACTACAGTATGTTCCTTTTTCTCAGATTGACTTTACATTAGTCAATTTAGAAGAATCTAACACTTTGGTCTATAATCCATTTGGAGGATGTACCTTTTTTCCTCCCACATACTGAAACAAGTTAGACGCTACTGACAAGAGAAATATATGTCGGGGGGACCCCACCAGTGCAGGGCAACCATGCTATCCACCTACCTCTTCTGTGAGGCTTCTTTATCTCTACAGTCATGGAGAATAAAATCCATCAAATCTGTGTTTCTGGAAGCACGCAAGGCTTGCTACAATTTGCCTCTGTGCCATCGCTCCCTTTTCTCCCCTCAAGGCTAACAGTTGCTTGGAAACCTCTTTGAAACCTTAAAAGCCACCTGATGAGGAAGATTAACAAACAGCTCACTCAGGCAAGGGCCACAGTGCAGATAATTTAATTTGTTGCATAGCTTTTATGCATTGGTTTCAATAGTTCCGGGCAGCCTACATTACACCCTTTCTTCTGTTAGTTCCTCTCTTTAATTGTTAGTGGGTACAATCACATGCTTGCTGCAGTGGGCACTAGAGCCTGAAAAATTGAGGCCAGAGCAAAAGAGATTTTCTTTTAGATATCAAAAGGGTCTGTATTGTGAAATTATAGCATCCTCGACTCTATCTTAGAAAGGACGATTTCATAAAGGGCTGTGCATTTCTTTGTGATGTATTCACGTGGATTCGTTTCTGTAGTGGTTTGGGGGAGAGATTTGATATGATCCAAGAACTTGCCAGGTGTGTCAGTGAGCAACTTTATAACCTCTACCCCCACACAGAAACCCTAAAAGAAATACCCTTTCAGTCATGCGCGCCAAACAATCATGCCCCTATCAGGGGTAGTGGTTATACTTGCTAACTTGATGTGTCCAGAGAAAATGGGCATTTGTTTCTCCTTTTGAAGAGTGAAGAGAACACAGATGATTCTCCTAAATATTTTTCAAAGGCTTAGCACAAAGGCTGGCCCAATCCCGGTAGGTACAGCCACAGCCTCCGTAGACAGGAAGAAAGCAGTCAGGGGAATTGGAGAAGGCTTAGGGTTCTTCCAGGAAAGAGGCAGCTAGGACTAATTCCTTCTGAAGCTCAGCTCCTGCAGTTCTCTTGTTGCAAACAGGGGGCAGCCTCTGTTAATTAAAGCTGGGAGCAGCAGCCAGTGAGTCAATGTCCTGAAGACAGGGGCTTGTTCACAGAAGGGAGGCAGGTCCTGACATGGACTTTCCTATCCAGAGTTTGTGTGAGGTATTTAAAAATCAGGTTTTAAAGTGTCTTAAAGCCCCTAAATCTTACAATAGTGTGTGTGCGCGTGCGTGTGTGTGCGTGTGTGTGAAAGAGGGAGGCAGGAACCTGCTTTTATATAAGGTCACTGTAAAGATGCCCTGATGCTGGTGGTTGGGGACACCTAGATGGTGGACAAGGTCGGGATGGCAGAAGCCTACATTAGTAGTTGGGCGGCTTGTTCCAGCCTTGACTTTACTGCTTGCTGGACAGAGTTCACAACTTTTGGGATCCTAGTAAGCCTGCTGGAAAGTCCCTTCACAAGCCCGAGTGTAGACCTCTCTCAGAACTCACAGGAGTCATGGTGGAAGAAACGGTCATCCGTGTTTTGACTATTCCTTTCCTCTTTGGTAACAAACAGAATTATTTCATAAAGATCTCTGTCTTTCTCTCCACTCCCATCCCGTGTGTGTGTTCCTGTGTGTATATACATCTGTACCAGTGCATGTCAAGGCCAATGACAATCGTGAGTGACATTCCTCAAGAGTTTACTTTTTTAAAGCGTCATCTTTACAAGTGTATCTGTGTTTGTCTATGCGTATCAAGTGCTGGCTCCCGCGGAGGCCAGAGAACGCCACATACTCCAGTACTGGAGTTGTCAGTCATGTAAGTCCCCTGATGTGGGTCCTGAGAACCAAACCCGAGACCCCTCAAGGGCAGCAGGGGCTCTTAGCTGCTTCTCTGGCCCCTCATCTTGGTTTTTAAGAGGGAGGTCTCTCTCATGGTCTGGAGATGTACAAGTAGGTTAGGTCAGCTGGCCAGCGTGCCCCAGCAATCTCATGTCTCACCTCTCCAGCACGGGGATTGAAGGGTACCCACTGTACGCTGCTTCCTCACGGAGGCTCTGGGGATTGAATTCAGGTCCTCATGCTTTTATGACAAGCACTCTCCTGAACTTGTTAAAAATCTCAGTTACCTAAACAATGAGTTTACATAGCTCATAAGTAACTTTTGTCTATGTGCTGGGGAACACAGATAATCACATTATTTACGTGGTAGTGCTTGGAGACATTAAAATATAAATATAAAACAGAAGGTGGATTGAGTGTCTGTTAAGAAGGTACAGGAAGTGGCTAGGTCACAGGCTCTGGAAGCAGATTTCTTGAATCAGATGTCAGTTCTAGCATTCACTCCACAAACTACCGTTGGGTGGCTTTTTTCACTGCCTTGAGACTAAGTCAGTTTATCCACTTTGCTATTGGGAATGTAATATAACCAAGAGTTAGAAATTTAATGGAGCCACTGGGCCCAGTGATTTCCCCACAAGCCCCCAGGTTGTCTGGGACTCAGTTAATTATTGTTCTCTAATAAAAGTAAGCCGAAAGACTTGCTGCAAGCCACAGACAAATGCCGGCTGCCATTGGCGCCAATGGCACCTGTTTGTGAGACCGACAGGAGGGTGGCAGCTGTGGGTGCCCGCCCTGTTTTGGAGATCTTGTTGGGAGGAAGCTGATGAATTGGGAGTCAGTCTTATGCCTTTCCCAGATGGGGAATGGGTTGGAGTACATTCTAAGCAGTCAGTCTTGGCTCTGAGGCCTGGTGTGGTCTACTATGGTGGCCCTGGGGTATATCTGTAAATCTTATCCCAAACATCAAAAAGTGCTGCTTATTCAAAGGAAGGGGAAGCTTAGCCAAACTCTTTGATTTGGAGAAAACTTGTCCCACAGTTCCAATAAGCTCTCTCACAATTTTTCAATTATGGGGACCCCAGCATACCATTTGACAGGTGGCTCAACTTTTTGTTCCTTTGAAAACCTCCCCCAAAGAGTCCTACAGCTGAAGTCAAAAAGAGGAGAGGGCAGCAACGACATTATTTCCCTCTGAGTCACTCTGAGACTGCAAAGAGCATACTTAGTTAATACAATTAAAAACAAAATGCCAGGGAGTATGGGGATATAAATTTAGCTTAGCAGCTTTGATACGAATTCTGTTTTAGGGGCCAAGGAAGTTAAATTCAAGCAGAGGACAGGAAGAAGTTGGAGAAATGGGAGAGGGCCTATGGCGGGCTTGGAAGCCAGAAAGAGAGAGAGAGAGAGAGAGAGAGAGAGAGAGAGAGAGAGAGAGAGAGAGAGAGAAAGAGAGAAAGAAAGAAAGACAAAGAAAGAAAGAAGGCTGAAAGAGATGCTGGGAGCCAAGGAAGCAAGCTCCGTGAGGATGTCGGGGAAGGGGGCACCGTGGGGACAGGGGACAGCCTGCTCTGGAGACAGTTGCGCGGGCTGCAGGAAAGACAGGGTGGCTGAGGATGAGTGCCCAGGCCTTGCGCTGCGCCAAAACTGCTAGCGCAGAGGCGGCGCTGCGGTGTGCCCTCCTGTGGAGCTCAGAGAACGCTGCGGGGGCGAAGAGGGACCAAAAGCTGCAGGTCCTAGGGGCTAGGCGAGTTCCTAAGAGACACCTTTCAGGAGGCGTCATTGCCTTGGCTTTGTCCACTGGTCGCCACCCCAGACCCCAGGGCTTCTTAAAGGAATTCCCAACCCCTCTTCTGGGATGCTTACCACAGCCCAAGGGCTGGGCACTTCACCCACCTTCCCAGTTCAGCTTCTGTTTTCTCTGTCCAGGCACTCGAACCACCCCGGGCTCAGGCCAGGCTGGAGGGCACATCCCCGGGAAGGGCAAGGCGGTCTCCGCCCGCCCGGGAGGGGGAGGACGATCGTGTCTACACTGCATCTAGTGTGTCTTGGAGTATGCAAGCCATCTAGTCTGTCCCGATTCTCCCCGAGTCACCCCTTCCCTGATCGACAGATTGCAACCGCAGCTCCTGCGCACACACCTCTGGGGGAGAAAGAAGCCGCGGGCGGAGCCACCTCTGAGCCCTTGCTTGGGGTGAGCCGCACCTTTCTCCCCGAGAGGGTGCCAGAGGTCCCAGCCGCGTTCCTCTCCACCTGCCGGGAAAGCCTAGCTGCTCTTCGAAACCTGGTGGCTGCGGAGCTCACTGCTCCAACCAGAGCACTATCTTCACGCCCCCCACTCGCCCCCGCCCGCCCGAGTCACCTCTCCCCGCTCCCCCGCCCCTTTCGAGCTTGCGCCTGCCCCCTCCCCCCCCCGCGCCTCCTCTACCCGCCCTCCTCCCCTTCCCCCTTCCCTCCAGCCCTCCCTTCATTCCACAAGTGTCGCTTCGCTCTCTCCAGCGCACTCGGCGAGCTGAAAAGGTGAAGAGCGTCCTGCGAGCGAGCGGACGTGGGAGCTGGTCCTGGGCGGCGGGCGGAGGGGAGTTAGGGACACACCGACTCTCCCCGGCTCTCCACCCCCGCCTCCCTCGGTGGCCGGTAGGACCTGCACCCCGTGCTGGCCTCCGCTTCTGCTTCGTCCCCGCCCGGCCCCGGCGCGCTCCTCCCCGGCCAGCCCCCTTCCTTGGTGCGCGTCGCGCTGGAGGCTAACGCAGGCTGAGAAGAGCGCAGTGGCCGCCGACCACCGAGCGCCCCGCGCCGCCTCCCTGCATGTGCGGCCAGCGGCGGCCCGCAGCCCCAGCCAGCAGCCTCGGCAGCTTCGGCCGCGCGTCCAGAGGCGGCGGCAGCGGCTCCAGCGGCGGCCGAGCGCTCCATTCCGGGCTGGGAGACACCATGCGCCGAGTCCTCCGGCTGCTCCTCGGCTGCTTCCTCACCGAGCTGTGCGCCCGCGTGTGCCGGGCGCAGGAGAGAGCTGGGCACGGGCAGCTGGCGCAACTGGGCGGCGTGCTGCTACTCACAGGGGGCAACCGCTCCGGGGCCGCCTCCGGAGAGGCCGGCGAGGGCGTCGGGGGCTCGGACGCACCGCCGACTCGGGCGCCCACGCCGGACTCCTGTCGGGGCTACTTCGATGTCATGGGCCAGTGGGACCCGCCGTTCAACTGCAGCTCAGGCGACTTCATCTTCTGCTGCGGGACTTGTGGCTTCCGGTTCTGCTGCACGTTTAAGAAGCGGCGACTGAACCAAAGCACCTGTACCAACTACGACACGCCGCTCTGGCTCAACACCGGCAAGCCTCCAGCGCGTAAGGATGACCCCCTGCACGACCCCACCAAGGACAAGACCAATCTGATCGTCTACATCATCTGCGGGGTGGTGGCTGTCATGGTGCTGGTGGGCATCTTCACCAAGCTGGGGTTGGAGAAAGCGCACCGGCCCCAAAGGGAACACATGTCCAGGTGGGCTGCCTCCCCTTCGCCCTCCTCTCTGGGCCCACTTTCCTTTCCCTCGCATCCCAGCATCCCTAGCCATGGTTCCTCCCCACCCCAGCGTTTCCGATTGGGGAATGTCACCCAAGACAACAACTTTCACTTGCAGTGTGGAACCGAGGCACTGGGCTCAGCACAGGTGGGGGTGAACGCTGCCAAGTGTGAAAGGGGAGGGTCTCTTTCCCCCTCGCCCATCTGCTGTCCCCTTTCACCAGAGAAGGTGGTGGGACTTGAGATATACAGCCTGGTCTCCAAACTCTTGGCTTTTGCGGGGAGAGAATTCATTGATTCTAGATACTCCTCTCTAGGTAAACAGAGGCAGGCGAACTTGGAAAGGGAGGGGGGCGTGTGCAATCAATCCCTTGTGCGCCTGTGTGATCGAGGGAGGGACGAAAGGAGTGCGTGCCTCCTGCAACTCGTACACTAGCGAAAACGAAGCAAAGGAGAGGGAGAGTGTGTGGAGAGGGTGAGAACAAAAGCCTCCTTGGAGCCGGCTGCTTTGCTTTACCAGAGCTTTGATGGCCCTTGATTGGAACCTCATCTTTTTCCTGGGTCCTTTTCTCCCTCGCCGTCTCTCTTTATGTTATGGCCGGCCAACACAGCGCTGCGCCCCTTGCCTGGGCTGGAGCTGACTCCAAGGCCACCCTCCACCTTCCAGGCACCTTGATTCGTCAAGTTTGCCTTTTGCTTTATGATGCAAGTCCCAACATAGGCAAAGTCGCAGCAGATGGGAGAAAGCATTTGGGGATTAATGGAGAGCTATTTGCGGTTTTGTTTAACCCCTTTCCCAAGTGTCTAAATTGATTTCCAGAACTCAATAACTTTGGAGGAGAAGGCTTCAGACTGGAGCCCAGAACCCAGGGGGAAGATGAGGGGTTAGTGTGAGGTATGGACAAGAGATCAAAGAACTACCACGGGCCAGCTGACAGCAGGATGGTGGAGCAACCGCTGACTTTGAGTCAGGGCATTGAAGTTACTGCGTTTTCTTCTCCAATCTACTCATACCCGCATCCTGCACTGGGGTCTTGTGTGTGAGTGTGTGTGTGTGTGTGCGCGTGTGTGTGAGTATGCACGTGCATGCCATCCATGTACATGCCTAAAAATCTGAACAAAGAAATCCACCAAAAATAGAAGAAGGAACATCACCACCTCACTAGCAATTATTTTCTATTTATATGTGGAAAGTATCCAATGAGTTTTTCTTTTCCCAGAGAGAAGGGGTTTGGAGGGGAAGGTGAGGAGGTTCTGATCAGTTTGGATTAGTGGGAAGGTCTAGGTGGATGGTGAGGTCTTGGGGCACAAAAGTAAGCTCCCAGGGGGTCCAGGAAACCAGGGCCAAAAGAGTATGGCACTGGGCCAGCCCACCTCCTGCTACTCCAGGGTGCCTTACCTACTAAGTCCGGCTTCCAGGTGGGCTCTCTTAAGGAGCCTCCTATCCAGGGAAAACTCCAGGCCAGTGTGAGGCTGAGGGTGAGGAACGCATGGATGCAGGTTGAACAAGAATGTTGCTATATAGGGAACTGGTGCCCAAACACAGGTAGGCTGCTTGCTGATACCTTAACTGATCTCCACCACGCCTTTCTGCTAAGTTCTCAAGACTCCCTTTTTGAGATTTGGTGGCAAGAGGAGCTACCGTTTGCAGGTCTGTTGGGGGAGATCTGTGCGACAGCTTCAAGCTCCCTTAAATGGGTGCTTTGGTCAGCCCCTCCTCTCAGGCAGCTCTTTTGGGGGTATTGGCTCTGGTTTTTCTGCAAACTCTAGGCAAGGTTTGTTTAGAGGCAAGGTCCAAGGGTACCCAGGGCTGATGTAGCAAACTCATGTTCTCTCTGGAAACATTTGGGGTTCTAGAATGCAGTGAGTGCCAGGCTTTGGAATGGGAGAAGACTTCATGTTTTCCAGCTTGCTGCTGTTTGAGACCACCTGTATTGCTTACAGTCCCTGTTGTTGGGGTCCCACCTTTGATTTTAAATTAGAATGTGGGTTGGGAGCCAAATACCATTGGGCTGGCAAGGTTCTCTACGTGACTCCAATGCTCAGGGAAACACTGTGCAGGAAAAAGAATGAACACCTGCTGAGCACAGGGCTGGGTTCCAGGGACTGGTGTGTGTGTGTGTGTGTGTGTGTGTGTGTGTGTGTGTGTGTGTGAAGACTCAGTCTTCACATCTATGAGACAGCTGTTACTTTGATCCCCTGGTTACGTAGGAGAAAATCATGGCACAGGTGAGGTGGCTTTGCTCAAAGTCACGCAATCAGAAGATGATGGCGCTGTCCACAGTAACATGGGGTTGAGCTTACTTGCCTCCGAGTCATACGTTTTTCAGGCCCAGCCTCAGAATCTGGGGGCTTCCCAAGGTTCTGACTTTTAAGTTCTTGGTTTGGAGACTGAGAGTCAGTATGTTTGGACGTCTTCTTTATCACCCTCTCTCAGTGAATATAGGATCTGGGAGAAACACCGGCCTTGAGTTGGAAATATTTACAAAGGTGGGAGGTGCAGATTAACCCAGCAGGACAGCGGGGACAGTGGAGCTCCCTTTGCATCTGTAGCTCGCGTTCTCCACTTGTGTGACCTTTCTGTGGCTCCCAGGCTGCCCCAGGTCCCACCGAATGCATCACATGCTGCTTATGCACTTAATCATTCGGAGCCCAGTGTGGCCATGGCTCATTAGCTTTTGCCTGATGGTGCTAAGCATCCTCCAGCAGGGACCAGCGCGCCGAGCTTAACAGCAGAAAGACTGCTCTGAGGTGAGGCACAGCCCAGGTGAAGTTAACCTGCCAGCCCCAGCCTCTCAGCATCTGTCAGGAGCTGCAGAATGCAGATGTGGGTTTGTTCTCATTTTGCCCGGGAACCGCCTTGTCAAGGACATGCAGGTGATGGTGTTCATCTGCACACTTTATCCTAGTGACCAGGAAACTTGTGTTTTCTAGTGGAGGCCCCCGTAGCGTGTCAGAATGCACATTTGGAGTTCTTGGCATATGGCCTGCTTCCCTCTGGGCATATGAGGATGGAAAAGAAAGAGAAGGACAGCCATCAGGAGGGCTGGAGAGAAGCCGTGCCATCTTGTAAGGACTGTAGAAATGCAGGTGTAGGGAGATGGCTCAGTGGGAGGAGTGCTGGCTGTGCAAGCATGAGGACCTGGGCTCAGATTCCAGCACGCACATAAGAAGCCAAGCACTGCGGTGGATGTCTGTAATCCTAGAGCCAGAGGTGGATACAGGTGGACCCCAGGGTGTTGTTGCCTAGCCAGTTCAACCAATTGGTGCGCTCCAGGTGCAGTGAAATACCCTGTCCCCAAATGTAAGACGGAGAAAATTCAGACATTGACCTCTGGCTTCCACATGTCCCCATGTTGACATGTACAGTCAAGTATACCCCCCCCCCAGAAACATTTAATACTATAGAAAGGGAGAGGAAGGGGAGGAGACTGTGGGCTGTGTGTGCATGTACCTCTGCAGTACCTTGGCAGCCACAGGCAGTGACTGTGTGCACCTTTGCAGCACCACGACAGCCACGGACAGTCACTGTGTGCATGCACCTCTGCAGCACCATGAAAGCAGCCATGGGCAGCCACTGTGTACATGCACCTCTGCAGCACCATGACAGCAGCCATGGGCAGCCACTGTGTGCATGCACCTCTGCAGCACCATGACAGCAGCCATGGGCAGCCACTGTGTGCATGCACCTCTGCAGCACCATGACAGCAGCCATGGGCAGCCACTGTGTGCATGCACCTCTGCAGCACCATGACAGCAGCCACAGGCAGCCACTCTTTCTGGAAGCAGTAATTGCAGTGGTGGCTAACTGTGGCCTGGGTAGATATTGTTTGGCTTTCAAGGTGTTACTATTTATGTTTCTTAAAGGTTTTCCATGTATTGTTTTGAGACAGAGTCTGACTGTTTGTCCCCGGTTCTCATGGAATGGGTTTGTAGGTGTGTACCATCATAGATTTCTACTAAGAGAAAATATAAGCAATCGAAAACCTTGTCGGGTATACAAGGAACTGCTTGGTCACAGCCTGTCAACCTTGGCATATTTATCAGGACTGGAAAGGAACTCCTTGGTGGGAACTGCCTTGCACGCTGTAGGGAGATGGCAGCATCCTTGACCTCTGCCTACTGAGCAGATGACACCCACACACACCTGCCATGACAGTAGAAAATGTCGCCACACTGTCACATGACACGGAGGGGTAAAATCCCCACACTGGGAACACTGATCTTAATTAACCTAACTTTACAGTTTTTTCAAGTTTGCTTCAATTCATTCTTCCTCTCTATTTCTTTTGACCTTATTCCCTTCCATTCACATCCCCTCCCTTCCATCCTCTCATTCTCCCTTCCTCTCCCTTTTTTCTTCTTCCTCCCCTCCCCTCCCCTCCTCCCTTCCTTCCACTCTCTTCCCCCTTCTTGCCTCCCTCCTGCCCTTCCTTCTCCACCCTCCTTCCTCTTATCCCCCTTCAGCTGAACCATTTGAAAACAGTTGCAGACACAACATTCAGTCCCTCATACTTGCAGCATGGGTCTTCTAAGACCAAGAGCATTTCCCCACACGGTAAATTCCATGATCATAATTTAGAGAACAAACTGCTACACTGTCATTATATGTCCAATCATACTAAAGTTTCCTCATATCCCACATGCTTCTCAGAGTTGGGCTCTAAGTCTGGATCTAGTAAAGAGGTGTTGGATTTGACTGTGCAGTATCTGCAGCCCCTAATATTCATGCTCTTTTAAAACCAACTCCAAGTCAGTAGCTAGTACTGAAAAGCTGGATCTCTCGGAGAATTCCTGTTTCTAATTCCTCTAGCCAGTCAGGAGATCTGGTAACTCTACTCTTGCAGTTTTCAGAGAGCAGCGCCTGTGGCTGGATGGTGACTAGCCCCTGTAGGGAGCTCTTCCAGCTTACTGTATCATGTCACCTGTAAACCCAGGGGAGTCAGAAGGCTTGCGTGAGTGGCACATGCTCTCTGCAG